AAAGAAATACCCAATGCATTCATTTCAAACTAGTATCAAGAGGCCTTCCGATTGTAGCTACATTCCTATTGAGTTGCATTGCTACAGGTAAAACATATTAAAAATCACCTTTGGAATGATGAAAATCTCCTCTTAAGGTTTGATTTAATATATGCTCAATTTTAAGTCATTTTTGGTTAGAAAAATTGTCTTATCGTCTACACTGAAATAAAAATATAAGGAATGAATCTTATTTTAACCCATGTTTTACTATATAACATTTTTTAAGCCGTAAGGTATATTTACGTTATACATGTAGTGCATCATATAAAAGAAACTTCACTCCTCAAATGCTATCATTGACATTTTAGCATATTTACAATGACTTGTTGATGTGAATTGGAGTCCCTGAAACTTTATATAATTTGAAAACATGAAATTGTAAGAGTGGGAACATCTTAAAGATTAAATCATAATCTGTTAGATGACGAATGTACCCTTGTATTATTTATATCATTTGACAGTTTTGATCGCCATTAATTCGGAATCTTTGAAATGTTCCTCTGGGATTTCCGGATCAGAGGTTTTGAGATACTCCCCAGGATTTGTCAATGTGAGTGGTTGGTGTTTCTCTTTCCACAAGGAACCGACGTCCATGTTGAATTCCAGTGAATTCTGTCACCAGCAGGGGGCTCACATGGTCGTCCTAGACTCAGGAGAAAGAAAAAGTACTCACCAACTATATTGATAGTAAGAGAACAGGAGAGGATCTAGGCATGAAATTGCGCTGTAATTTAAGGTCATATCAACCATTATGTAAAATGTACCTTATAAGTGTTGATAGATTGTATAATCTAAATATTGATGAATCGTAATTTGACATCGAATATCTAAATACCCTCAACATACTCTAAATATCAAGTTAAACACTAGAATGTGTGATTTTAAATTGAACCCTCCACCGCCCTCCCCCACCCCACCCATCAACCAAAAAAGAAGAAGAAGAAACCCATACGAATCCTAACGATGAGGGCGAAACAGCAGTTGACCCCATCTTTGGCCTCCTTTTGACTAATCATAACGACGGCAGGTGGCGCTGGGTGACTGAGAGAAACAACACGTACTATACAGGAGAAGAAGGACTCAAACTTCCCTTTATTTGTGAGAATTCTCCATTTTATTTGGAGCATGAAGTGTTCTGTTACATAATGATTCATTCTCTTTTAATTAAAAAAAAAAACATTTGCAACCATTTTCTTTTGTTATATAATTTCATTAAGTATGGTGTATAAAGTCCTAAATCATTAAATGGAGTATTCTTAAGTTAACGTCAGATCGTTTATTTGTCTCCTCGGAAGTCATATAGATTTATCCTCGGATCTTGCATTCCTCTCCTCGGAAGATATCTAGATTTATCCTCGGATTGTATATTCGTCTCCTCGGAAGAGATCTAGGTTCATCCTCATGTTTATTGGGATCTCCTCTAACCATACATACAAACATTTTAGCACAAAGTGTTGTTTTTAAAATTTCTATCCAAAAAATAAGGGGCCAATATATTTCCTGGTTGACTCTGTGGCTTTTATATTTCACCTATGTATTTTTTGTGTCTGTTTGTTTGTGATTTTTTTCAGCGATAAAAATTAATTTGAAATCGACTCTTGAGGGTTTCCATAACCATGGATAATCTTTCGTCTGTTAAAAAAAAATAATACTTCACAGAAAAATGTATGATAGCATATTTTTTTTTATAAAAAAAACAACTTTTATAACTGAAAATTTCAGAGTGATTCAAAAAAAAAAAAAGGATATTAAGATGTAATTGATGTTTACCTAGTGGCGTCTGATCATCATGATGGTCCCCTTCACTGAGGTCCCACTCCTTACTGTGGGATTACCATGGACAAGACCAGACTCCGGGGACCATTGTCCGTTAAGGAAGGCTTTGTGACATCCGTTAAACCACCAGCCCCCTCTAATGTCACCGTTATCAGCACAGTTAAAACCACTTTGTCCATTCGTTAAATCTCTGTCTGGTGTGCTGAAGTATACATCCCAGACAAATATAGATCTCCCCAAGAAGGGGTGTCCAACATACTGTGATCTGTAAAATTAAAAAAGAAAAAAATACATGGACCTTGTTTAAAATAGATCAGCAGAGTTATATCCACTATACTCGTCCAGTTACCATTTATCTGTCTGGGAAAAAGAAGAACATCAAATTTCCAACAGTACATGTAAAATAAAACATGCTGTCCCCTGTAAAAATAAACAAAAAGGAATCACAAAGTTAATTGATTTATATATTTTTAATTTAATTGTCAATAATACTACTGAGGTACTTCTAAGAAAGACGGCTTTAGGTGCTGGGTAGAGCGATAATATTTATTTAGTTAAGCTTAGAATCCCCGGTGTCTATCATACTGGCACCTGCAGAATTAGAGAAATATATAACAGAGATAATAATTATTAATTTACATCACATTAATCTTAATACTGAAGTACGTCTGAAATACATTGTTTAACGTGTTGTTACCTGTAGAGAGAAAAACAATATATAAAAATAATACAAGACAACAAAACATTACACAATTCACATAGCATCCTTTCTAGTGTAACAATAAACAACAGGTGTGTTACACATTTTAACATGGGGGGGGGGGGGGGATAAAGGTCATTGGAAATTTTAGAAAATAAAAAAAATGAAATTTTAATATTTGTCCGAGACCGTGCCTTCAAACATGTATAACATGCAATATAAAGTAAATCATTAATAACGAGATAAGATATGGTGCATCTGTGAATCTTATAAGATGGTAAATTTCCTATTAAATAAATGTAAATGTGAAACGCGTTGAGGTCTTTTGAATTTGGCTTTTTAAGCTTTTTTTATTTGAATATTTATCCGATCAAATTTTTTTTATCATCAAAAATTTTCGTAAACCTGTAGACATTTAAGATTAATTGACGCACTGTAAACTTCCTATTCCGTAGTAGTAAAAAATGTGAATCATTGAAAATCAGACTAACATGCTCTGTAAACTTTTTCGGTATCAGTTAAAATGTGAATTATCAAAAATTATCAGGAAACCCAAGCTGAAAACAATGTTGAACAAATGTAATTATTGGATTTGTTTGTTTAAAAAAATTAACATATTTTCCTTGTACATAAGATGTATAATTAGAAATTTTATCTACTTGACAATAACAAATTCGATATCCGCTGAATATGTGAATTGTATCTGCAAATGATATTTTGAAATATTAAACATGTTTATTTAGCGTGGAATCAAAAACGTATACAGAATATCAGAAAAAAACACATCTCTCTTTTTTCAAGAACATTATAATCTTTCAATACAGAAAAAAATACTTATGATAATAATACGTATATAATTTGAACCCAATTTTAAGAACTAACATAACATGAATACACTTACCTAGGGTCCCCGTGGCAGGTCCTGCAAGAAAGAGTTGATATTTTCCTGCTTCGTTGGAGACAGAGAATCGGTCGTACATTTCATAAAGCGTTGTACCGTTCTGGAGAGTGATGGACACATACAGGGATGATGGGTTTTCTTTTGTTAATTTATGGATTACGTCATTTCCTGTATTAAGATATATTTGAAATCATCTGAAAAGTTCATCGAATACAATTAATTCTTTTAAAATCTATATTAATCTACCGTAATGAAAAATCAGATTATTTTCCATAGCTGTAGACAATATTGCTAAATTTTGTCTCATTAGAATATGCCGCTAAATGATATTCTTCTTTTCTATTTTTTTTTTTATTATTTGAAATATCAATAAAACACGATATCAGAATATCATAGAACACACATTACCTGGTCTTAACTTTAGATTTTTTTTTATCTTAAAACTTTGAAGGACTAAAAAGTTCTTATTTGAAACCGATTTACACTTACCAATCCAGACATCCTGTTCTGGTGAACCAAAGCCATTCTTATAATCCGTCCAGTTCCTGTCAAAGGTTACGGATCCGTCTACGCGTTTCTGAATTGCCTTCAAAAATTAGCATACATTTCATTTCAATTTATTGCTTCGAACAATCATAGGATCCATATGTTTTGATATAAACTACAATACAATCCTTAAAACCACCAAAACAAGGTGTGTTATATTCAGTATTTTTAATTATAAAATAAAAAAAACCTACCGTCCATCCACCGTCCATCGTGGTCATGTCGCAGTAGACACTTATTGGAATGGTTAATGTTCTGTAGGGGTATATATCATACACCCCTGTGTTGCTGTGTCCATTTTCTCGAAGACCTTTGCAATCTTTGGGCATGCTAGAAAAATCTAAAAAAAAAAAAAACAAAAAAAAACAAGAAACTTGATAAAAAAATCGTGTCCCCTCGAGAAGGACCTAAAAAAACCAAAGAAGCTAAGAGAATTAAAAAAATACCAAATATACATACCGTTATCTGAGTAGTATCTCCAGCCAGCCTCCTCAGACATACCAGACGTTAGACTTTTCTTGTGGGTACGGCATTTCTTCATTTTAGGATTAAAACCAAAAAACACACACTCCCTTTGACACATTGCGGCGCACTCAGTCAACGATTTAGCATCATGTTCGCCTAAAAGGTCATTGTTTGACTTCTTATCATTAAAGTCAAGTTTCGCAGCATATTTCTGAGAAATAATGGTAGCTTTAGATAAAGCTAAGAAGCCTACAATTAAAGTGATAACCCACTGATTGCTCATTTTTTTTGTTGCGTAAAAATCTGCCGCGTTCTCGCGAATCTGTGAAATTCTGCTAAATGGTCTTTCAACAGCCAGATATATATATCGTACCATAATCAATGTCTGAAAAGTGATTGGTTAACTGTTACGTATTCCATATTTCACTATTGTTTAAGTATCGATTTTATTGAATCTAATATGAATTTTTATACGTGTATATTTTGAAATTGCATTTTAAAATATACAATAAACGTGTGCTGTTTATTTTACTATGCTAATGCCTGTTATGTTGTGATTTTTATTTTCATTCGTTATCTTTGAAATGAGGATTTATAATACTGGTATATATTTTCTTGAATGAAATTGAAAAAAAAAATCAGCTCTTTCGAAAGAAAATCTCAAAGAAATAATTATCTGATAACATCATTATGATCTCAGAAATTATAACAAAAAAATATACTGATTAATTCAAAATTTTATACATTAGCCTCCAAATGTTCATATAACACAATGCATCATCATTGCTTTATTAACTCTTCAATCAATTTCAAAGGACTACAACGGAAACATTTAAGAGGAACGTTGATAGCACCGAGCACATCTTATAAACTGAAGCTGAATCTGATTTATTTAATCAAACGCCTATTTTACATCAACATATTCAATGGCGTTGTAGAAAGTCTGTATAAAAATATATTAACATATAATATATACAAATATACATGGATTCATGGAACGTAAAGTAATTAAAATAAAGCATAAAAGTCCCTGTAGTTGTAGCTTTTTAAATGTTTTTTTTTTTTAATTCATGAATTGATTTTGATTTTTTATGTACAAAAGCAGTAAAACGCAGGACTTAGGACGTATACAGGACCTAGCACATCTCGGAAGAATGTAGACAAAACCGAGCACATCATAGAAGCTCGTAGACAGCACCAAGCACATCTTGGAAGAATGTTGACAGAACCGAGTACATCATAGCAGCTCGTAGACAGCACAGAACACATTTTGGAAGAATGTAGACAGAACCGAGCACATTATAGAAGCTCGTAGAAAGCACCGAGCACTTCATAGAAGGGCGTAGACAGCACTGAGCACATCTTGGAAGAATGTAGACAGCACCGAGCACATCTTGGAACAATGTAGACAGAACCGAGCACATTATAGAAGCTCGTAGAAAGCACCGAGCACATCATAGAAGGGCGTAGACAGCACTGAGCACATCTTGAATCTTATCTTAACATTTTGATTTTAAGGACAGATGACACGAACTAACTTTTATCAAAAACTACTAAAATTACAACTAGAGTCATCTTTTAATGAATACAATATGTAGTTTTTAAATTTCTATTCAAAGTTGAACAAAAAATAGTATTTGAATTGAAAAATATTTGTATAGAATAATAAGGATGGTTTCAGAAGGGTAGAATTTGAGCGTCACAGGTTAACATTTTCCTTATATTCTAGAAATTCATAATTTTTATCATTTTCAATGAAATTAGGCTAAAAATACATACCAATCCAGACATCATTTTTTTTTTACATCATTTGTCTTTAAGGGGGGCGACTGGGGTCCATCTCAAAGTCAATAAAACAATATAAAATAAGATCAGAGCAAACACGGACCCCCGAAACATCAGACGTGGAATCAGATGCCATGGAGGAGTGAGCATCCCCTACCGACCGGTCAAACCCTCCATGTGCTCGTTGTCATGATCAGGAAATAACGGAAAAATCCGTCGTCGATTCAGTGTATCAATAATTGACTAACAATTTGTATGAAAAACGTCAGCCAGTATTTGACTCAATGATAAATGTATTTGCTGACTGGGTCCTTGTATCGACCATAGAACTTACAAAATGATGGCTTTAAACGAGACTGCTAAGAGTATGCTCTTGCGTATCGAATCATCTGAGATATATATACTCCGTATGCAGGTGATGAAGGCATACAAATGTATTGCTGCATAAGTAAGGGAAATTGACGATAAAAAAGTTAAAGTCATCACGTTTATCATATAGCTTGGTTGTAAGATTATCATTAGCGTCTTTTTGAAGTTAAATATCTAAGTATGAAACAGAAGTGTCAGACTATGTAGTATCTTTTATCTCAAGCTCACCAGGATATATCGTATCGACGTAGGAATGGAAAGTACCATTGTTAACTACAATACGTCGTCGATATATCTAAATGTTGAGTTGTAGGACACAGCAAGTGTTTTCTTCTTTTCACGCATAAGATTTTGCATGAATTCTGCTTCATTTGAATATAAAAATTAGTCTGCTTATAACGGAGCGCAATTTGTACCCATGAGATTTCCAATAAATTGCTTGAATACCTGGTCTCCAAAAACCACATAAATCCATCAAATATTAGGAGTTTGGCGCAGAGCACAAGACTTTGGCGTGACCATCGGAACTTTGACTTTTGAGTCCTACATGTACATATATAAATAACTTATGTTTATAAATATTAAGGAAAATAGGTCTAAATAATGTTTTATTTGGAATAGGTAATCTGGTATTCGGGATAGATAAGATAAGAGTAACTATCCATTCTGTATGGATGTTACAATTAGAAATTTCAATATGAAACATGTAGAGATAATGAGCAGTATTTAAGCTCAAAGTCCATTAAAAAATACAAAATAGGAACAGAGCAAACACGGATGTCCAAAGCATCGGAAATTTATATTAAAATATTCAAAAAGTTGGAGAAAAAAACATTGTTTGTTCAGGCTTTTTGATATCATTGACAGCTAATTTTTTCAATAAAAATGAAACCATTCTAATTGCACACACACGTACTCTGAGTTCGACATACAAAAAAGAAGTTTGAGTGTCTGGTTGACAATATACATGTTGCTTTTGGAGACCAGGTCTTCCAACAGCCATTGAATTTCCCATGGATACCAACTTCTCCCCACTATTAGCAGACCTATTTTTGTATTCATATGAAGCAGAATATTTTCGTCTTATGGATGAAAAGGGATCACTTGCTTTGGACTTCAACTCGATGTTTAGATATATCAACGACGTATTTTTAATAAACAAATGTAATTTCCAGTCTTATGTCGATATATCCTCGTGAGATTGAGATAAAAGTTACCATATCCGAGGGGGACTGAATTAACTCCTTAAGTTTTTTTCCCTTATAGATTCAAATGAATGACACCTTTTTATACTGAGTGACACATCAGCCAGTATCTTTTCGTTGTTATGTATAATCATCAATAAATGAGTACCGAACGACAAGTATCCTCGGGGACAGACTGTCGACCAGAAGAAATACATATACAGAGATGTTATATTCATTTTTATTTTTTAAATTTCTTCTGTTCATCATATTTTTTTTCTAAATTAAAATAACGTAAGTTTTACAAAATTACATAAGCCACCTCTTGGGGATACTTATCTTCAAGCACCATGTATCCATCAAATTTTAGTAATACTTTCGGAACTAAGTAAAAAATATATAAATAATTCACAAACTTAAGAATATGCTGAAAAGATTTATGAATTTGGAGTGTGTAATTTTTTTTTTTTATTTATTTATTTATTTTTTTTGATATTTGTGTCCCGGAAGGAAAAATACTTAATTTTTAAGTAAATGACATGATATTGAATTTAAAGAAAAGAAAGAAAAGATGAATTTTGAATATTATAAATCATTTGATGGGAAAAAAATTAAATTATGCAAAAACGGTAGCTTATTTTTTGGATTTTTTAAGAAACAAACAATACAAATGAACAACATGCATTGACTATAGGTTGTATATATATAAACAGTATAAACAGAGGTCCCGTTTCACAATGGTCATGGCACAAAAAGTGCTAAGTACAGTTCGGAATTTGTAGCCCTCCGCCGGTCCACTCTCCATTTCAATTAAAATTCTCGTAAGAAGAAGGATATGGAGATAACGAACAGTATTCAATATCAAAGTCCACAGACCTCCGAAACATCAGAGGTGGGAACTAGTGCCACGTAAATGACGTTAAAAAGTAAACAATAAAACGAATAGTATACATGATAAAAAGTCCATCCAACAATTCAAAATAGGAGCAGAGCAAATACGGACCTCAAAAATATTGGAGAAGGGATCAGGGCCCATGGAGGAGTGAATATCCCCTGCCGACCGATTACACCCGCCATGCTCCTTGTCGTGATCAGGAAATAACGGAAAAATCCGTCTTCAATTCAGTGTATAAATATGTATTAATAATTGACTAACAAATAGAATGAACAACGTCAGTCAGCATTTGACTCAGTGATAAATTATATTTGTTGACATGGTCATCGAGCATAGAACTTTGAGATATAAGTATGCAGGGGATGAACGCATATTTCTGCATAAGTAAGCGAAGTTGATGATCGAAGAAATAAAGTCACAACATTTATCATAGAGCTTGGTTGTTAGATTACCATTAACGTCTTTTTTTTAAAATAAAAGTCATAATTGCCTGATATTGTCGATAAATGACTGTGTCAGCATTTACAATCTATCAATGAGTCAAATGCTTACTGACAGTTTTTGTACTAATTTCAAACTTATTTACAGACTGTTTTGTCGATGGAATTTCGGATTTTCTCGTTAATGTCCGATTATCACAAGGAGCACACATCGAGTGTGAGTGTTCCGCAGAGGGTGCTCACTGCTATATGATCCAAATTCATATATTTTAAAGGTCCGTTTTGCTCTGCTCAAAAATTTTTAATTTAAAATAGTCTTTTTTCGATTGAATATTGTTCGTTATCTCCATATTTTTCATCCAACAAGAAACCCCTTTTGATTTTCAGATGGTTTTAAACTGGAAAGATGCAATTTTTAAACGAACTTGATTTTTAAAAATCTGCT